GTGTGTGTGTGAGCGAGAGAGTGTGTGTGTGTGTGTGTTTCCATCAGGTTGTTTTGTCTGAGAACACAGACGGGTTGGTCGCGGTCACATGGCATTAATAGTGTCTGTTAGCGACGGGTTTGACTGCTTCTCACGAGATCTGGGTTTGAGTTCGTTCAAGCTCTGTGTGCAGGGTTATTATCGTTAAAACCATAAAAAAATTTTTTTTGCTTGAAAATAAATAAAGTACTAAACAACTAATAAATAATAAAACTTAATAAAAACTATGTAAACATAAAAAATTACATAAATACACAAGAAAAGTACTAACATTTTAATTAAAATATAAAAATAAAATCTAATTCAAAATATTAATGAAAAATACTTCTAAAGCATTTATTCATCTTAGTTAATGTTAATCTCAACATTTACTTGACATTTATTTAATCAAATGTTATATTTCTTAACACTAGTTAGTGCACTGTGAACTAACATGAACATTTTTATTAACCACGTTAACAAAAGTTAATAACTGCTGTAAAAATTTAAGTATTACCAGATATTATGTTTTACAAGAAAATAAAATATTTCAGTTTTTCTACTTCAAAATTTCATTTAATCCAACTTGCCCTTTCTCTTAATAAAAAGTTCAAAAGAACAGCATTTATTCAAAAAAAAATCTTTTCTAACAATATAAGTCTTTACTGTCACTTTTTATCAATTTAACACATCTTTGCTGAATGAAAGTATTAATTTCTTTCAAAAATAGAAAGAATAAAAATCTGCTGTCCCCATGCTTATGAACGGTTAGAAAAGATTTATTTTTTAAGTAAATGTATTCATCAAAGAATCTTGAAAAATGTTACAAAACAATATTAAGCCAATGTTTCCAACATTGATAATAAAGCAGCATATTATACTGATTTCTGAAGATCATGTGACACTGAAGACTGGAGGAATGATGCTGAAAATACAGCTGCGCATCACAGAAATACATTACAGTTTAATAGATATTAAAATAGAACACCGTTATTTTAAATTGCAATAATATTTCACAATTTTAATGTTTTTTCTGTATTTTTGATCAAATAAATGCAGCCTCGATGAGCAGAAGAGACGTCTTCAGAAGAGAATTCTTACTGATCCCAAACTTTTCAACGGTAGTGTATATATATATTTTATTTTTATTTTTTACAGTGCATGAAGACCGTTTTGGTTTCAGTGTTTCTGGAGGTTCAGTCTCAGGTTTAGTCTCTGATAAACGCTCGACTGTGAAACTGAAGCTGAACGAGTGGATGATTCCGGCGTGATGAAGCACAGGCTGGAGTTTATCCAGAGTCTGGAATGTTATTTTGCCCGAACACAAACACGGCTGGAGCGACTCGAAGTGCACAGACGCCTGCCGAGTCCAGTGCCCGGGACAAATCTGTGAGAACTTTTGCATGTGTTTTCATCCAGTGGTCACTTTGTCACTGGTGTTTTAAATTTCGTTTGTATATCATGATTGATGCCCAACCTTCCCTTTATTATTTCCATTGGTTTGTGTCGGTGCAGAATGACGTTCTCAAGCGTTCAGGCAGCATCTGAATCCTCCTAAACGACCATTCCGTTTGTATTTTTCAGAATGAGTTCAACCGTCAGTCTCTGCCTCTCATTAAAGCATAGTTTGCATTGTTTACCGCATTTTCCGTCCTTGGCGTGTTTGAACGGCGTTACACAAACACACACACACACACACACACACACACATGTTCAGACTGATTCTTCAAGGGCCACCTGTGCCGCTAGACCAAACACACACGTCTGAACCTTCACCAATGCTGTGCTCACGCAACCCATCCGGCCTAGTTAATCCAGAGCTGGTGAAGTCCTGTGACTAGCCTCTCTGAGGTTCACCCGTCTGAATGAGGGTCACTGAATATGTACAACAACTCAGACAAAGTTTGTCTCTTCATCAGGTTACTGTCAATGTAGCACTGCATCAGTGTCTCAGCAATGGGTGCTCTGCAGTGAATGGGTGCCGTCAGAATGAGAGTCCAAACAGCTGATAAAAACATCACAATAATCCACAAGTAATCCACAGCACTCCAGTCCATCAGTTAACATCTGGAGAAGACAAAAGCTGAAACTAATCCAGCATTAAGACAATTTTATACGAGTCCATAATAACTCTTCCTCCAGTGAGTCAGTGTTCTGGTGTGAATCAGGAGAGAGATCTGCACAGATCAAGCAGCGTTTAAACAGCTCTAAACACATATGTGGCTGGATTCTGATGTGAGAGACAACAGCAGATGCACTTTTTCACTGGAGGAAGAGTTATTATGGACTCGTATAAAATTGTCTTAATGCTGGATTAGTTTCAGCTTTTGTCTTCTCCAGATGTTAACTGATGGACTGGAGTGCTGTGGATTACTTGTGGATTATTGTGATGTTTTTATCAGCTGTTTGGACTCTCATTCTGACGGCACCCATTCACTGCAGAGCATCCATTGCTGAGACACTGATGCAGTGCTGCATTTCTACAAACCTGATGAAGAAACACACTCATCCTGATCTGGGATTGCCTGAGCGTGAGCACATTTTCAGTTTTGGGTGAACTGTTCCACTAATGTACAGGATAAAAGATGAACTATATTCACTATAATATCACATGACCTTGTTTTTATAAAATGCTCACTAACAATCAGCTTCAGGACTGCGGCCGTATGTTTTATGATGTCTGTCTGCTGTTTCCCACAGTCGGTTCTCGGTGAGCGAGAGGCTCTGTCTCTGTCTTTGTCTCTCTCTCTCTGTGTTTCTCTGCTTTGTCATTCCCATGGAAATTTGCAAGCAAATTGTGACACCATGTGACCTCTCTCACACACACACTCACACACACACACACACACTCACACACACAAACACACACACTCACACACACACACACACACACACACACAAACACATATACTCACACTCACACTCACACACACACTCTCACACACACACACACACACTCTCACACACACACACACATGGCTACCACACCCACTCACCCATTTGAGGCACAGCCACTGTCAGCAGACTGGTGTGTGTGTGTGTGTGTGTGTGTGTGTGTGTGTGTTTTGGTGTTTAATGGTCTATTTGGCAAAAAAGAGAGCAGCACACATTAGCACAGTGAGTACAAATACACACACACACCATATAAATGAGCATGTACTATAGACTTCTGTTGTTGTATTGTAAAATTAATTCTTATTGCCACAGACTAACACACCCTAAAAGTATTCAAACATTGTTATAGATTAATATTTATATATTATATATAAAATATACTGGCGCAGCTTTATATATATATATATATATATATATATATATATATATAGACGGCCCTGAATGTTTGGTCAGATTTAAACTCATTTCTAAGGTCAAATTTGCTCCCAAACGGCAGCTAAATACACACACGCACACGCATGCGCGCCCCTCCTCTCTCTGTCTGTCTGGCTCGACTGCGATCAGGAACAACCCTTGAGAAAGAGACGGGGGAGAGGCGGAGCTTTGACCTCTCATGACCCCTGCGGCACCCTGCGTCTGATCTCTGAATGTGTGTGCGTGTGTGTGTGTGTGTGTGGACAGTCAGTCATTATGAATGTGTGTTTGTGTCTGGCTCTGCGCTCGTGGCTCACTTCACGTCCTCGCACCATCAGCTGTCTCGTACTCTTTTTGTTTTCATATGCAAAACCGGCTCACACAGACAATTCAGTCTAGACCGGCGGTGCTCAGCCCCATCTGCCCCGGGGTGTGTGGGAATGCAGGAGCTTCAGTGTGAGTTTAACTCTGGTGGATGTGGCATCATGCAGCTCCATGAGGCGGACGCTTCGCAGCCGTGTGTTCAGACGCGCTGCAGCGGTGAGTCTGAAGCTCTTATAGTGTTTTAGAGAAGCTGGAGGATCAGGCTGCTGGGTTTGTCTGCTTAATATTATTTTATTTCATTATTTTGGGTCAGTCCTTGTACTTGCAAATGTGATGGTACAATTGAGGTCAGTTTTCTGTGTCTGAACTTCTTTTAACATTAACTGTGATGCTGACTAAACTATGAAAATATCTGCGTATCTAATACTCAACAGTTTGTGAGCTTTAAAGAAATTAATACTTTTATTCATCAAGTATGCATTAAATTGCTCAAAAGTGACAGTAAAGACATTTATAATGTTACAAATATTTCTATTTCAAATAAATACTGTTCTTTTGAACTTTCTATTCATCTGTGAATCCTGAAAAATAAAATGGATCACAGTTTCCACAAAAATATTAATGTTTTCAACATTGATGATAATCAGAAATGTTTCTCGAGCAGCAGATCAGCATATTATACTGATTTCTGAAGATCATGTGACACTGAAGACTGGAGGAATGCTGATAAATAAATGACACTTTAACAGATATTCACATAGAAAATAGATGTTTAAAATTCTAATATTTCACGGTTTTTACTGTATCTTGGATCACATAAATGCAGCCTCGGTGAGAAGAAAGGACTTCTTTCAGAAACATTTAAAAAAGCTTACCGACCCCGAACACTAGTGTGTAAATGAGTCTCTGTAGATGTTCCCCTTCTACATAATGTTCAGTATTAATTGTTTATGGAGTCACTGAATTGTTTAAAGTTTGGTCTGGTCTTTGGAACTAGTAGTTTTTCTGAATAACTATTAGTGGAAATGAAAAATGTTGTTTTTACTGTAAAATGTGTTTTGAGTTCCTGAAGCTCCTTTGAGATCTTTTTGAATCTTATTTTGAATCTTATTGCGTCCCTTCTGAACTTTATTTTCATGTTTACTCAAGTTTTCACTTATATTACGAGCACCTTTATTAGCATGACTGTAGACGGTAAAGATGCATTCAGTGTGATTCACAGTATTTCTGTGTGTGTGTGTGTGTGTGTGTGCGCAGCCCAGCTGGAGTTTGTTCAGATTCTGGTGATCGTGGTGGTGATGATGATGATGGTGGTGGTGATCACGTGTCTGCTGAATCACTACAGACTGTCTGCGCGGTCTCTCATCTCTCGCCACGGACGAGCGCACAGACGACACCTGCCCCTGCCATCGGTAAGAAAAACACACACGCACACACACACTGTCCGTGACAGCTTCATTCACACACGCTGATGTCCGTCTCACGCCAGGCATCTCATCACTGTGGAGTAACTGTGTAACTGTACATTTTACTTGTGTGAGTGAGTGTGTGTGTGTGTGTGTGTGTGTGTGTGTACTGTGTGAGTGTGTGTGTGTGTGTGTGAGTGTGTGTACTGTGTGTGTGTACTGTGTGAGTGTGCTGTGTGAGTGTGTGTGTGAGTGTGCTGTGTGAGTGTGTGTATGTGTGTACTGTGTGTGTGTGTGTGTGTGTGTGCTGTGTGTGAGTGTGTGCTGGGTGAGCGTGTGCG